CCTGAGATGCTTTGGCAGGGATGTGTGAAGGAAGGGTCTTTATTGGTGGTTGGAGTGGCAAGGGCAAAGACTGCTTCCCCAAGAGCAGTCATCGGTGTTGGGGACATCACCATCATTCCTCTTGGGTAAAGCCAGGACCTTTCTTTCCATAGGCCAGAACAGCCTCTTCTTGGCCTCCACGCTCCCCAGCAGAGGAGTGTGTATGTGTGATGTCCTGTGCTGACATAGAGGTTTAGCTACAACATCCACTTACGATGCCTGAGTCAGTCCATACCTCTTAGAGCTGCTGTTTCAGGTCCTTTGGAGAACTAGGCTGGCCTCCTGCTACTTGCTGCTTGGCTTAACCTTAGGCTGTGGTTTCATGGTCACATTTATGCAGTTATTAGCTTTGTGCTGTAAATGTCAAAGGTGACATTCCAGTGGCGCATGGGGACTGCAGGAGCAGGGCAGTCCCCACACTTTACTCGCACCCCAGTTTCAAGCCTGCCCAGAGCGGTTGTCATCTCCTTGGCCTCTTCATTGCCTTAGGAAAGTGTGGCAGCGCCATCAGCGACGCATAGGGGATGCATGCGCACCCCCTGAGATCAGCCATGCACCCCCTGGAAGCACCGGCTGCAAAATCGGAAGTCTGTGTATATGTGTGTGTGTCCCAGGTTGGTGATCGGCCGCTGGGGGGACCCACCCCCCTCCATCGGCGATCTGGTGCCTCCCCAGACTCGGGAGGCACCAGTTGCCCATGGGCAGTGCCACATTCAGCTCTGCCATCTTAATGCAGTAGCAATTCAGAGCCAGCCTGGAGAGGAGGCCGACTTCTCCAGTTACATAACCCTAATCACACAGATTGTAAAATGTGTGTAGCTACATTAGAGACAGGCTTAATGAGTTTCAACTGCTGGGTTTCTGCAAGATGCAGTTCAGTTAAATGACTGTCTAGAAAACCTTAGAGTGAACTGAATTCTGGTTCTTCACCCTGGTTTGTTAGAGAGCTGCTAATCAGCCTGGTCTTTGATCAGACACCGCAGGGAAAACATTGGATTTCCTTGGAAGCAGGTAAAAGTTTGGGCCTAGCAAGTGTGAAAGGCCTTCTCTGGTTTTTCCCCCCTTGCTGGCTACCAGAAAATTGAAAGGAAGGGATTCTTGTACTCTCCTTTTTCAGGCAGCGCTGCACCCTGCCTCGTGGAATGGCCTCGCTGTGCTGTTCCAAACACGCACAAGCAGACAGAGACAGTGAAGGTTTCCAGCTTACCCAACAACTAAGCATACAGCATACCTAGGACAACGGGCAGCCAGGGTAATGAATCTGCTAGCTAGCCCTGCCTGGGAGTGAGGTCCCAAGATTGGTAGCGCGACTCCTGGGCTTGTTCCCAAGCTGCAGAGAGACTCTAGCAGATTTTAAGAATCAGGTCTTTAGTGACTGAACACGTGCATCTCCCGTTGACTTGAGTAGGGATTGTGGGTGGTCAGCACTTCTGAAAATCAGGCTGCCAGCCTGTGTGTCTCAGGTTCCTCATCTGATATGGACTGTTTGTCTTCTAGGGATGAGAGGGCAATGCTAAACTCCGGGTTTCCGAAGGGCTGAGATCTTTATGGCCCAAATGTGCTCTGGGTACTCGGGGCAAGTCAGACTGAAGCCCATAGGGGCTGTCCTTGTGTACTCAGGAGTAGGAGCAAGCTCCTTCTGTTTAAATGCAGCTTGGTGGGTTTGGTTCTTGCTTTTCACAGGAGTGGCATGAAAAAATTCACAGGACTAGCAAGGAGAGCATCCCACAGACACACGTGGATTGGGAGTGGTGGTCTGCTCTGCTGGGACCGTGGCAAGTCCAGAAACCTTTGAGCCTTAAGACAAGGACACTGGTGCTTTGATGTTGTTAATCCCAGCAGATTTCTTTGAGTGGAAACTTGCAGGGTCTCGGGGTAGGCTGGGCTATGGCAAGAATGCATACCTCCAGGCTGAGAAAGAGATTGTCACTCCTCCAAGATCCTTCTCCTTCCCTTGAAACAACCCCATGCTTTGATGCCCCCCACCCTGGCAAAGAGGCCTGGGTGCTATCCTCTTGGGGGTGGGAGAGAAGATGAGGAGGATTTCCTGAAGTGCTGGCTGGCACCGCTGTGCATTGGTCCCTGGTGGATGGATTCCACGAGCTGGAAAGATCTGTTCAAGTTTAATGTACAGCTCTCTCCTTACACAGCCCCGAGACCGAACCAGAGCTGACTTTTGGGACTGCAGAACGGGGGGAGGAGAGGAGCAGGGACCTGGGGGCCTGAATGAGGTTGTTCCAGCTGGGTCAGGAAAGATGGGAGCTGTGAGGAAGGAGAGCGTGAAGGGATGGGGGAAACCCCAGTGTCCTGCAGTCAGCCCGGGGCTGAACATGCTGCCTCTCGCTGATCTGGGGAGGCAGGGTCTGAGCTGGGAATGCTTGTGGTATCTCTTGACTCGCATCAGCCTGGAATTTGTCTGGCTTTGTGCCACACGCTAAATAAAACACATGCAAAAAATCCCAAATGGTGCTGGGGGCTCCTTCTCCCCTTTGGTTTCCAGCCCCTTTCTGGGCTAGGAGCCCACAGGCTAGATTTCCTGCTAGTGAGCTTTTCAAATGACCAAGTAAGAGCCCCTTGAAATAGGATACACCCGGGAATTTATCCAAGGCCTCATCAACTAGGGTGTCACTTCTGCAGAATATGGGCTGACTTTTGGTTACTTGGATGGTTCCTGTGAGTAGAGCAATTCAAGCACGGGGTGGGCCAGTGCTAATGCGCAGCAAAGTATGAAAAGTGCCCCAGAGATAAGAAACGTCACTTTGACTGAGCAGGGGCTCTTGCATCTTTCCTGTTAATTCTGCCGAGCCGTGGGGGCTTATACAGGGATGCAGGTGGCGTGGTGATCTTACAGTCTCTGTCCCTTCTCCCTCCTGCCCTCTCAGCCATGATTCATGACCACCGTAAAGTCCACTTTTCTAGTTGTCCCTCAGCCAGCCGCAAGTTTGCACTAGCGTGGCCCAGAGGTAACATCACGGGCCTCTCCCTTGTGTAGACACTGCTTTATTTCTAGTCTTTGAACCGAGCTGAATGTGTTTCACCCATATGAGTGCAGGCAGAATTTAATGCCTTGCTAGCTAGAGGGAAGACACCTGGGACGGCAACATAGCTGCTTCTGCCTACTGTTAACAGAGAGGAGTCATGTTGGCAATGATGTGTGTCCTGTTGCATGGTTTATTCGCCATCAGGGACTTGCCTTCCTGAGGGGTGGTCTGCTCTAGTTTCTTGCTCAGAAGAACTAAAGAGAAGGTTGAAGGAGCTCTGCGCAGGGGCAGGATCTTGTCAGGAACATAAATCATTCCTAATCTGGATGCTGGCAGGGCGTCGCTTCCAGGGTTAACTCTACTTTGGGAGTTTTAAAAACGATTCTGCAAAGCAAATAGCCAGCCTGCAGAATGCCTGCCGTCGGCTCCTAACAACGCCTACTCCCGGTACTCCTGGTTCTCCCTGCCTCCATTCAGATCTCGCACACTGTATAATCTGATAGCAGAATAGCACTCGGTGTGTTTTTTCAGGCACGTAACAATCTTCTAAAGTTCACTTAATACAGGGGTGTGTGTCAAGTGGAGTTGTCCTTTCTCAGTTGTGATGTACCTGTGAATAGGAAGCATAATTCAATCCATTCCTAGCTCCCCGCTTCCCCACTCCCTGCAGAGACGCCCCTAGGGAGCAGGGGCTGCTTGTGGGCTAAAATAGAAAATGTCTGTTAAAGTAGGCAGGTAATGGCAGAAACTGGAGACAGAGGAGGCCCATCGAGTGCAGGCAGAGGGACCTTTGCCACCTGTATCTTAGTGTGTAGTCGTGTGTGGCTTTTCTTCTGAGGTGTCTGTGAAGAGAGAGCGGGGGAAAGTGGCAGAACCAAATTCAGAATATTCCCACAGGTATTTAAAGAACTCGGGTGGAAAGGGTTTAGGGGGCTTATTTCTTTACAAAATACCCAGTGTCCCGTGATACTTGCTACCCAGCATTATGACTGGGCCAGTTGGGAACAGAAAGTGAAACTGGTGAATTCGTTCTCGTTCCACAGGCTGAGAGCAGCAGAACAGGGATAAATGGCGCCGGCACTAAATTAAATGGGTTTGGCAAAGATTTTTGCTTTAAATTTAGAACCAGTCGGTTATGGAGTAAGAGACAGTGGGGGAGGGACTGGAAAGGGGTCAAATCCTGCTCGGTTACCCCTCACAACTCTCTTGAAGGCAGTGGGGTAGCACATTTAAACTGGGAGGAGAGTTTGGTCCTTACCACTTTTTGCTTTAATGTGAAGCCTGTGAGTGGCTTTCTTGTTCCAGCTGGTGGACGGGCAGACCCGCTTCGGTTCAGGGTCCAGTCGGTTAAAATCCTTCTGTGCTTCTCTAGCTTCAGCCTCCAGAGGCCGTGGAAACCTAGGAAAAGGTGGCAGCAGTGGTTCTCCTTCTGAATTGCAATGCTTTCTCTGGCTCTGCACGTGGTACCAGTGTGACGGGGGTGGTTCAGGAGGGTTTAGTGGTGTCCAAGTCTTGCACTCTGCTTTCCTGACTAGAGATGAGTCCAAATGAGTTCTGCTTTCCCTGTTGGATACTGGTGGTTCTGACCAAGGGACCCGGGCCTGGAGACTAGTCTGAGCGCGGGCCCAGGAGCTTATACACTAGTGCTAGGCCTAACTCTTGGGTTCCCTTGTGGCTGTGAGCCGGTTGCGTGGGGCCCCGGTCCTGATGTGAGTTGTGCATCCATAGACCCACGTTGAGGGACTCTACCTGTGCCAGGCTCAGAAGGTCTCATGAGTACTGGGGCCGACAGTAAGGGCTGCAGTGTGTCCATGTGGTGTGTTCTCTGGATAAACTTGGAAAGCGCTTGTTATCTCTGTATCTAGACAGCTGACGCTAACATAATACGCACAGTCCCCTTTGCCCCTCATTAAAAAAAGATTTTCTGCGCTTTGGGAAGCAAGCGTAATGAGACTCACCCCGTGTGTCTGGCTCTTCCAGAACAGAGCAGTCGGACGGCCCAAAGGGAAGCTGGGCACTGCCTCTGCAGTGAAGCTCGCGGCGAATCGGACGACGGCAGGAGCGCGCCGGAGGAGGACGCGATGCCGCAAGTGCGAGGCGTGTCTGCGGACAGAGTGCGGCGAGTGTCACTTCTGCAAAGACATGAAGAAGTTCGGGGGGCCTGGCAGGATGAAGCAGTCCTGCATCATGAGGCAGTGCATTGCAGTAAGTGCATCGCGGGAACTGGCGAGACATTTCACCAGGGTGTGCTTGGGTGAACTCCATTTTCAGACCTCTCTCCCCCCCCCTCACCCTCTTCCAGCCAAAACCCCACAAAACTGAGGTGGGATTTCTGGTTAATTCTGTTGCTTTGGGTTTTCAGGAGTTTTGGGGGTAGGGGTCAGGACTAGGACTGTGCCATGGAATCTGAAGCTCTTCGGATTTCAAGTTGGAGAAGGCTCCAGGTCGGGTCCAAGGCTAGAAGGGGGTGGCCGGGTTTGGATCTTGCCAGAATTTCTTTCCTAGCTCAGCTAAATGCAGCAGAAATCCTGGGCTAGCATCTCCCAAGGCTTTGGCACTGGTGAGCCCGGCCCTTAGGCTAGACCAGGCACGGCCTGGGATCGACTGCCTTTCTCACCGTGCAGTGCCTGTGGGCTCGCACCTGGGAGCTGCTCTCTGCAGGGAGGAAATGCAAGTTGCAGCCTTCACCCCGGGGGTTAGTTGGTCAGTCAGGCTCCTGCGTGGGAGTTTCCCCTGACGGATTTGAAGCTCTCTGGACCAGCCGACTCCAGCCGTTGCTCATTGGTTGCACGTGTGAAGAGAAGGCAGTTTGTCTGGAGGTGCTGATAATACTTACCACGTGTGTAGTGACTTCCATCTGGCCTTGTTTAGCTTTGCAGCACGTGCAAGTTTCTAGTTCTTGGTGATGGAGAAATTGAAACTGAGAGCGAGGAGGCGTTTGGCCAGGGTCGCGTGATGGAGCGGAAGATCCAGCCTGGAACCCAGGACGACGTAGCTGGGTTTTCAGGATTGCTCAGCATTGAGCAGCTTCCATTGTTTCCATAGGAGCCGCTGGGCATTGACCCCCCGCAGTTGTGACCCTCTGACTCCCAGTCCTGGCCTAGACTTCGCATCCCCCTTGCAACAGGAGACTTGGCTTCTGCTCTCCTGGGTCTGTGCCCGGTGCTCTGACTTGCTTGGTGACCTTGGCTAAGCTGCTCAGTGCCTCAGGCTCATCCTCTGCAAACTGGAGAGAACACCTGCCTGCTTCTGAAGCACTTCTGCAGCTCTAGAGGACTTTTCCACTGAGTCCCCTCTTTACAGGGCTGCAGCACAAACTGATCGGAGCAGGAGAAATTGTTCAGAGAATCCTCCTAGCCCCTGAATACAAAGCAGAACCACTCTT